GTAGATCGATCAGTAAATTGAGAGCTTTGCCTTTTGACTCAGCTCTCTCTTCACCACGACAGACCTGTACAGAGCCCGCTTCACTGCAGACGCTGCACCTAACCGCCTATCGATTTCTCGTTCCATTTTTCCCTCATTCGTGAACAAGACCCCAAGATACTTGAACTCCTCCACTTGGGGCAGGACCTCCTCCCTGACCCGGAGAGGGCACTCTACCCTTTTCCGGCTCAAGACCATGGCCTCGGATTTGGAGGAACTGATCCTCCTCCAGGCTGTGTCGCACTCAGCTGTGAACCGCTCCAGCGAAAGCTGTAGATCACGATCTGATGAAGCCAACAGGACCACATCATCTGCAAAAAGCAGAGATGCAATCCTAAGGCCACCAAAACGGACCCCCTCAACACCTTGGCTGCGCCTAGAAATTCTGTCCATAAAAGTTATGAACAGAATCGGTGACAAAGGGCAACCTTGGCGGAGTCCATCTCTCACCGGGAACAAGCCCGACTTACTGCCGGAAATGCGGACCAGGCTCTGACACCGGTCATACAGGGACCTAACAGCCCGTATCAAAGGGCCCGGTACCCCATACTCCCAGAGTACTCCCCACAGGGTTCCCCGAGGGACGCAGTTGAACGCCAACAACAGAACACCACTCGGGTTCAGATCGGGGGGCCGTTCCTCCCAACCACCAGTGATGGGATGTAACTAAGTACAAATACTTTGTTACTGTACTTAAGTACATTTTTCGTGTATCTGTACTTTACTTAAGTAGAGTTAAATGTGGGTACTTTATACTTTTACTTCACTACATTTTACATCAAGTATCTGTACTTTCTACTACACTACATTTCTATAACACGTTGCATTACAAGTTACATTCATGTTGCGGCTTTTTGATTTGTTTGTTACTTTGAAAGTAACCAATGGTGAGAGGGGAGCTGGTCCAGTGAATCACTGCAAAGTGGGCAGGTAACGTTAGGCCCGCCTTCAAGAAGAGCTGGACCAATGACATATATTCTAGTATATACATCATTGAGCTGGACGCACCCACAGCACCACTAGCACACCCAAAACGTATTGACTGCCATAAGGTACCAGGATGAGATCCTCCGACCCATTGTGAGACCATATGCTGGTGCAGTGGGCCCTGGGTTCCTTGTCCCCCCCCCGTGCAGCAATAACTAACCGATAATATCAGGTCTCTCTTGTAAATGAGTCCCCGTGGCTCAATAGGATTAACCTGTATAAATAGAGGTTGAATGAAAATTACTGCTACTAAATGTTTCTGGTAACTGTTGGTCAGTTTCACCAGCTTGGATGAATTTTAGTTCATTCCTCTGTACAGAACAGCTTCAACTCTGGGATGTTGGTGGGTTTCCTCACATCCAGTGCTCACTTCAGGTCCTTCCACAACATCTGGATTAGATTAGGGTCAGGACTTTGACTTGGCAGTGTTAGGATGCGTGAGAGAAACGGAGCGTGTTCTATTCACACAAGGGGAGTTGTTGGTCAGGCTACTTCTTGTTGCTCTCTAAAATAGTTACTGAATCAAGTGTTTACTTATGTAAGTAAATGTAGATGTTTAACAACCCATTGTAATACACCAGAATGCAGGAAATGGCATCTACTTTATTCAAAATTTTCTGGGGGAGTGTGTTCCCTCCACCTTAAAACTGACATCAATTGATTGATCCCTGTTCTTTAAATCAGATTTGTGATCAGGTGCCCTTTTAGGACTTGTGTGAAAATTTGATGATGTTTTATTTATACAGAAATATAGAAAATTATAAAGTGTTCACAAACTTTCAAGCACCACTGTGCATGTTCACATTCACGCACAAACGCATGCACGTTCACTTAATATACCACCGCACATACAGTTTTAGTACTCTATCACTGCTGCTATTACTTTATTCACTGTATTACTCTTAGGAAATGTTAAGTGTGGAGAGACACATTCCTGCTGCTACATTTGATTTTTGTTGTTCAAAAATGAATCAATATGTAAAAATGAATTTAACTGTAACTGTCCCTGTTTCATATTTTCATCTTGATAACATTTCATTCTTTGTTGTCTCCAAACTGGAAATGTCCCCAGATTTAATTTCTGAAATCTGGTCACCTTAACAAAGGTGTTTACATGAACACACCTGCAACGAGGATGTTATTTATACAGTTTTCAGTTTATTGTTGCCTCTTGCTGGACAGTCTGCACACTGCACGTCTGTGAGGTTAATTTTCTTCTCTCTATCTCCTGTTTAAAAGATAAAAAAGAGAAATAACGGATGAGCTACAGTTAAGATGAGCAGCTAAACGCTCTGTATCAGTGAAGTGATTTAAATAAAGTGTCCGTAGACATGACGCTCTGAACAATTCAGACTGAAATAATCCAGTCGTGCAGGAAGTTGGACCAGTTTAAGTCCTTTTGCTTTTTTTTTTTCTCTCGCATACTTACTGACATTTTAGGCACTTCCTGTTTAAGGCTTTGAATAAGTTAGTATCATGTCTTGATTGAATCAAGACAACCTGAGTCAGCAGTCAGGAACACAGGTGTTGCTGGGTTTGCTGCGGTTGGAGCAACTCTTGCCTTGTTGAAGTGAACTGTTGGACTCTGAGACTGTGGACGCTTCTCCTTTTTGCCACCTTTTGTTTGGATCTAAGAATTACAAAGTACTAACGGGTCTCTTTTTTAAATGAGTCCCTGTGACTCAGTATGACTAACCTGTCTAAACAAATGTTGACGAAAAAAACACATTGAATGTACCTTTAACTTATATTTGTATTGAGCAAGCAGTCTGCGCTGAGCTTGGTGTGATTTTGTTCGTTGGGGCTCCTCATGAGGGTCACCTTGAGGCAGACCTCCAGGAGCCTCCCCCTGCTGTGCTGTGCTGTGGGGTCACTGTGTTGGACTCCCTGGTAAATTATTAAACATATTAGCCTGAGGACTCCTTCAATAACACTCTCACATGAACAAATAGCACCAAAGGACAAGGACGGCACTGTTATCGTTGAAATAGACGAAGCGTTGCCACATATCTGTTTGTTTCTTACTCTAACCCCTCGTTACCCGGAGTCCTGCCTTACTGCTCCACATCCAGTCTGCCGGGTGGAAGAAGTTGACCATTAACCTCTCACACCGACCGCAAACACCTCCTCGCTTGTGAACAGCTGCTTCTGCAACTGTGGATCCTGAAGCAAAGTTCAGTGTCACCGGCAGCGCAGGAGCTCGCTCCACTCCCAGCAACCTTTCCCTTGTTGGTTTTGTCCACTTCTGCACAAGCTAAAGCTCATCATGGCTACAGCAAGCTATGGGTACTACAGAGGGACTGTATTTCTGGCCATGTTTGTGGGCTACACGCTGTACTACTTCAACAGAAAGACGTTCTCCTTCGTCATGCCTTCTCTGATGGAGGAAATCGAGCTGGATAAAGACGACCTGGGTAAGAGTGACTCGGTTTTCCAATGCCTTGATGTGAGTTTGGTGCGCTCTTCGCTCTTTCTGCAGTAATACATGTCTTATACTCTCAGAACACTTCATCTGTGTTCACCTCTCTGTGTGCAGGTATGATCACCAGCAGTCAGTCTTTGGCCTACGCTATCAGTAAGTTCATCAGCGGCGTGCTTTCAGACCAGATCAGTGCCCGCTGGCTCTTCTCCATTGGTCTGTTCCTGGTGGGATGCATCAACGTGGTCTTCTCTTGGTCCTCAACGGTTGCCGTCTTCTCTGTCCTGTGGTTTATTAACGGCCTGGGACAAGGTCTGGGCTGGCCCCCCTGTGGCAGGGTGCTCCGTAAGGTACACGAGCAGTGAATCAAGGCCAACACATCGGGATCAAGATGTTAATGTTTTTTGTTCTTCACTGCTGATCTTAAAAACAAATGTGCAAAATATGACAATATATACTGTAATACCAATCAGTCTCATGAAAAACGATTGGGAAAACATATTCTAGTGTTCAAGCAGCACAGAGTTAGAAACACAAGACAAATTAGCCTTTACATTAAAGTGTACATTTTAAATCTGTAACATGTTTACTATGACGTGTCTCCAGAGTATTTTGGAGCACAGTTGATCAGTATGGACAAGACAAGACAACGGAAATTTTGTAGCTGATGAGAACATCATCTGGTTTTATTTATTTCGTTGATGTTTATGTTGACTGCTTTGTTTCATTGCACACTTCCCTCCACATTGTACTCACCTCAGCAGCTGCCATGTTGGATGCTCCCTCGTGAATGTCATTTGCCACCTAGTTTACAACCATCGCAGCTCAGTGAGATACAGTAGACCCCCCCCCCCCACGTAATAAGTGAAAAACTGCGAAGTAGGAACGCTGTATTTATATTAGTATGTTTATATATTTTAAGGCTTTATAAACCCCTCCTACACTATTGAAATGTTCTAAACTCTTAAACCTACGCAATTATAACAACATACGTATATGTACTGTACAGTACTGCAAAACTTTACTCACCAGCTCTGCAGAACACAGCAGCTTGGTTCTAGTCCAGCTTGGTTCTGGTTCGGCAGACCTACCCTGCAGCGATGAAGCCCACAATGTTCTAAACTCTTAAACCTACTTCATTTTAACAACATACGTATAGTGTATGTACTGACCAGTACTGCAAAATATATGGGTACTCATCAGCCTTGGTCCGGTTCTGATCGGCTTTCTGCAGCCGTTGAGCACCAAGACTTGGAGAGAGCCGGACTTTTGGATAGCCAGCACAAAACCACACAACAATGGTTCCGATCGAGTCCAAATCCAGATGAAAAAAGTCCGGGTGAGCTCCAGAGAAAACACAGAACCTCCAAGCGACGCCTCTGGTCCAAATACCAGTTGGTTCTGTACAATTCTCTGCATCCACTCAGCGTTGGTCACTATGAATACAGACCAAACTTTTTCGGATCGGATCCAAACTTTCCCTCCATTTCAGCAGAAAGCAACGGTTGGACGCATTGTTGGCTTCTGGGTAATGTAGTATTTTAGAGTGGCGATACAGTGTAAGCTTATTGAAAGAAAACTACAAAAAGGCAGCGCCTGTCCAAAATATTTTTTCCGTTAACTTTTTACTGTATCCCGTACCGTCCCAGTCACGTGAGTAATAGTAAAGTTGACAATCGTGCATCGTGTACAGTTTTACTTTGAAAATCCACGAAAGAGCGAGTGCACAAAAGTCGAACCTCAAAGTAGCGAGGAACTACTTGTATTGGATTAAAGTGTTTGACTGCCCCCTTAAAGATTACCTTACCTTCCACTCGTCAGAATTTTATAGCAACTCCTGCAAACACTATGTGAACTTTTTCATCACCGCCAATAACATTACATAGTTCTGCACATGAAATGTATGTTTTTGTCATTTTTGATGCAGCCTGGTCATTTTGAGCAGGATTTTTTAAAAGAAGAAAAACTGAAACACACAATTGACATCGGTTTAAATGACATTTGCATGAATTGCTGTGGACATTTTGGGATTGGAGCAGTTTTAAGATGGAGGCGGTCCACTTAAGCTCTAATTGTTCAAACCAAGGTTGTTTAAAAAAAAAAAAAA